AAAAAAAAATGCGTGTAACTAAGACGTACAACAGTAGGGAGTTCGTTTGATAAATTACAGTATACACTCGATAAAAATATCATTAAAAATATCACTAAATAATGAAACAGAAGAAAATTTGAGAAGATAGAGAAAAAATTGAAGTATATTAAGTTAAAAAATGGACTCCATTTTATATTTTAAAATAAAGGTGGAACACAGGATTTTTAAGGCAGTGAAACTATTGTGCGTGATACCATAATGGTAGGTACAGGGCGTTATCCATTTGTCAAAACCCATAGAATGTACCACACCAAGAGTGATTCCTAAGGTAAACTTCACTTTGGACAATAATGATGTATCAGGGAAGGTTTGTCAGTTGGAACAAATGTCCTACTCTGGTGCTGATGTTGACAGTGGGGACAGTTTTGTACACGTGGGAACAGGGGGTATATAGGAGATCCCTGTACTTTCTGCTCAACTTTGCTGAGAACCTAAAACAGCTCGAACAAATAACATCTACATTATTTTAGGCGCACCTGGCTGGCTCAGTCAGAAGAGCTGTGACTTTTTTTTTTAAAGATTTTATGCATTTATTAAACATTTATTTTTTTCATTTTTTTTCAAGATTTTATTTATTTGAGAGAGAGTGAGTGAGTGAGAGAGAGAGAGAGCAAGCACGAGCAGGGGAGGAGTAGAGGGGGAGGGAGAAGCAGACTCCCCACTGAGCAGGGATCCTGATGTGGGGCTCGATCCTGGGACTCCAGGATCACGACCTGAGCCAAAAGCAGACAGAGGGGCAGAGGGAGAGAGAGAGAATCTCCAGCAGACTCTGCAGTGAGTGATCAGCGATCACTGATTCCACTACCCCGAGATCGTGACCTGAGCCAGCATCAAGAGTTGGACGCTCAAGCGACTGAGCCACCCAAGTGCCCCAAACATGCGACTCTTACTCTCAGGATCATGAATTTGAGCCCCATGTTGGGTGCAGAGATTACTTAAATAATAAAACTTTAAAAAAAAATGTCTGTTTAAATTGAAAAAAGATTAAATAAAATAACATTTTGTACTCCAGAATGTTCGCCATGATTCTGTCTGGTGTTTAGATTAAGGGTGATTTGTTTGTACCTTTGCTTTTGTGTATCTTCCAGAATTTTCCACAATGGCCATTTGTTATTTTCAGTATCAGAAAAAAATATATCTATTGTTGAAAACAGAAGTCCTCACTGTCAGTCTCTCCCCCAAATGTTAGTATTGATACCCTGCTTTCTTTTCTTTTCCCGAAAGGGCCACCTGAGCGAGGGGTATGGACAGCTCTGCAGCATCTACCTCAGACTGCTAAGAACGAAGATGGAATATCACACCAAAGTGAGTCTGCCAACGGTTCTGCATACAGGCCCCCCACCCCCATCCCTCCCCCCCACAACCTCCCCACCCCGGCCACCTCTGTGGGCCAAACTCTCAGGTCCTTCCGGGAATAAGGTGGCCCGGGCCCCTCAGGGAGCGTTTATACCACATCCAGTGAGAGGAAGGTATTTTATAGGATGGCTGCAGTGGGACTCAGGACTGGGATTCTGGCCCACATTTTCCGCACCTTTTTATTCCCCATCTTGCAGAGAGGACCCCTATCCACTAGGCTGCCTTAGGAAAATGTTTCAGAAGCACTGCCTTGACTGTGAATAAAAACAGTCCCTTCCTTTTACGTAGTGAGTTCCCACACAGAACCTTCTTTGCATCCATCTGTGGCCTTAGACGGTCTTTCTAATGCGCTGAATGCAGGTAAAACCGTCGTGCTGGGTAACCCGGTGGCACGTAAGGATACGTAGAAAGGGTCTGCTCGGCAGGAGTGCCCGGGTCCGTCAGGGGGAGGAGGCTTACGTACCTGCGGCACCGAGTCACAGTGCGCAGCGGTCGCACGAGCCTGTAGAAGGAGCCAGAGGCCTTCTGAGATGATGCGGGGCCATGGCGTGGAAGGGGAAGATGAAGGAAGCGGATCGAGGCAGACGGTGGAGGGAGGGTGTGGATGGAGCAGGGGTGGGCAGGAATGGCCTGGAAGCAGAGCGGGGAGCTGGCATTGGAAATGAGGAAGGGAGGAGATTTACCTCTTATGGACTCGGGGGAAGGGGGGGCTCTGATTCACGGAACCCACCCTGTGTGCTAGCCATTCCTGGTTAATTCTCGCCGCGACCCTAAGAAGGCGGTATTCTTATAGCCTAGGAAAATGAAACTGGGAGCGTGCTTGAGTGTCTTGCCTTGTCATGCAGCTCCTCGGCGATGAGGTGGGACTTGAACCCAGGCCTGTAGGGCAAAAAAGCCCCTGCCGCTCAGTGGCCACCCTTCCCTCTGCTTGTGTGGAGCCGGGTGCTTGCCGCAGCCCAGAACTGGGTTAGGTTCTGAAGAGAGAAAGGTGAAGGGACTTTGGCCCGGCCTCCAGGAGTCGTATTTGCTTGGGAGACAAGCCAGGCAAGTCCAGTGAGGACCGGAACGGAGAGATGCACAAGATGGTACAGGAGCTTGTAATGGGGTACCATGCCCAGACACCAGCCACCCAGGTAGGCTTCTCAAAGGCAGAACACCTGAGCTCACCCCCAGCTCAGTGGCTGAAACACGAGCAGCCTTTTATCATCTCTCACGCCTTCTGTGGGTCGGATGTTCCAGAAGGGCTGGGCTGGGCAGTTGCAGGCCGCAGGTCCCCCATGCGGTCCCAGTCCGGTGCTGGCTGGAGCTGGGACAGTGTGGACGTGGCCTGGCGTCTCCCTCCTCACGAAGTCTCAGTGCTTGTGAGGACTCCCTTGCAGCCCGGCCAGTTTCCCAAGAGAACAAGGTAGAAGTGCGTGGCGTTTATAAGACTCAGCCTCGAAGTCACAGAGCATCCCTTCCACTGTCCTATATGGGCTGAGGCAGTCACAGGGGTCCCTGGATTCAAGGGGGTGGGACAGGGACCACACCAGCCAAGGTGGAATGTCGAAATCACGTTGTAAAGACAGCGTGTCGAACCGGAGGGGCAGCTGGTGTTGGACATGCAGTCTGCCGGTCTGCCCTCTGGCCCCACAGTTCGTTTCCTGCCCTCCCTCCCTCCCAGGGAATACACTCACACCTCCCCCAGGCCCCCAGAGCCTTGTCTGCCACCTTGCAGGTAGAGGAAAGGCCACTGAAGAAGGGCAGGGCGGCCGTGCCAGGCAGAGGGTCAGCTGCAGACAGAAGGGCTTGAGGCCCAGCACAATCTTGGGTTCCTGAGGAACAGGCCACACATCCTCCTCAGTGTGAGGAACAGGCAGGTGGAGAGTGGGGAGGGGGTGACCGGGCAGCTGTGTGAGACCATCCCACTAAGAGTGGAAGACGGTGAGAGCCAGATTAGGACGGTGGCCCCCGGGACAGGCCAGAGTGGTGGGGGCTCTGAAGACTGGCAGGAGGGGTGGGGGGCAACAGCTACGGAGATGTGGGGCCCGTGGGAACAACCTGGGCGATTGCAAGAAGAGCAGCAGCCCAGGGAAGCAAGTGAGGCCACGGGCGCTCTGGACTCCGAGCTCCGGGAGGACAGAGGACAGGTGTGTGTGTCTCCTCGTGTCCTGTGTCCTGTGCCCTGTGCCCTGCCCAGCATCTAGCGCAGAACAGGTGCTCAGTCAGGACTTCCATGAGGGACAGAATGAACCAGAACCTAGATCTGATCAAATAGCGCACAAGGAGGGCTGATCCCGAGTCGGGAGAGAGGCTGGCCCTTCCTTTTTTGAAGCAGGAGGAACGGAAGGATAGCTGGCACATTCAAAACGGGGGAGGGAGTGGGAAGCAAGATGCTGAGGGAGATCCAGAGATGTAAGGAGGAAGGCACGGACCAGGGCGGTGAGGAGCCGGGCCAGTAGCCAGGACCAGGAAGGGGCACTAAGGTTGGAGAACATGATTAAAGGGGACTCCAGCTGTGAGTCCTTCTCTAGGGATGTTGGCAGCTGGTCCTCGAACAAAGACCCAGGCTCACAGGGTTTTGACAGCAGTGTGGTGGAAGAACAGGCAGCAAGAAGGGCGAAGGACACAAGAACAGGTCTCTGTCCAGACTGAGCGAGGTTAAATACGGCCAGAAGGGGGCGCTCAAGGAACTGGCCGGCTCTGAGACAGAGGAGCCCTGGGGGTGAGCCTGAGGGCTGGAGGGGGCGGCCAGGGCAGAGGGAAGAGCCAGGAGGTGTGCAGTGGAGGATTTATGTCTTCAGAGCCTAAAGTATTCTCCGTGGAATTGAGACCCCCTTGACTGGCCACCCATCAGTGCCCGTCTGCACCTTTCCCTTTGCCTTGTGTTCCAACCACTCCAGGCAGGCCACACTGGGGAAGAGATAATGCCAATATGAAAATGGGTTTGCCTTCCCCGAACTCACAATGGCAGCTTCGGGAAGTGGCCGAAGGACAGAGGGAAGCATGGGTGGGGTTCAGAATGTACTGGGGATACATATATGCGGGACTGTCTGCGCCTCGTGGATGGTCGAGGGCCGGCCACTGTCACACTGGGCCTCACTGGAGGGCCAGAGAGCATCTTTAGAAGAATGTTCCAGGATATGAACTGTTAGGGTAGAGCCCTGTCCTGGCTCCCAGATACGGGATGGAGCCTTCACCTCTGATGATGGGTAGGGGATATTCTCTGCTGTGAGCTGGTCGGGGGGGGTCTGTGTGCATTGACACATCCCCCACAAAGGGTGTGGGTAGCTGCACGAGCAGAATCAAGCCTGCTGCTGCCCAATGTCAGCTTAGTTGAGGTGCCCTGTCCCGACTGCCATCCTCTGCCTCCCTTTCCAGAATCCCAGGTTCCCAGGCAACCTTCAGATGAGCGACCGGCAGCTGGATGAGGCTGGAGAGAGCGACGTTAACAACTTGTGAGTGGCCGTCCTCATGCTGGGGACCCAGCAGGGAAGAAAGCTCGATGTTGTCACACAGGGCCTGATGGGCAAGGGCAGGGGCTGGGGTGGGGCACTTAGTGTTGGTGCCTCATCCAGAATCCTTCCAGGCTGCCCAGGGTTCGATTCTCGGTGTCACCTGCTGCCCTCCCCACCCAGCATGGCACCTGCCCTCCCCTCTGCCACCATCACTGTGGAATTCACCCTGCTTGATCTTCAAATGGCCTTAAGACCCACGTGGGTGGGGGCTAAGGATTGGGTGTGGGGGTGGGCGTGTCTCTGTGTGTGCACGCACGTATGCATTGGGGACAGAGACAGCAACACAGAGCAGGGGGGAGGGGACAGGTGAAGCACTGACCTCAGGCTCTGGAATATAAGCTCTCTCTCCTCTTGTGTCCAGTTTCCAGCTAACAGTGGAGATGTTTGACTACCTGGAGTGTGAACTTAATCTCTTCCAAACTGGTGAGTCTCTCCCTCCCATCTGGCCCAAGCTGTCATGGGAATTGCCTAATTCTGAGCTTTGTTCCCGGCTTAGACCAGCCGTCCTAGCCCCCTTCTCCCTACGAGGTTATGCAGCACATGTCAGGAAATGGGAATATCCATACCCTATCTCTGCTTTCCTCGTCCCTGGTGCAGGGAGGGGCCGGAGCTCGTGGGTGTTTTCAGAGTCGGTGATTTCATTCTGAGCGGAACGACCATGCTCCCCACCCTGCGGGCCTCCCTCTGGAAGCCCGGGCCTCCCAGAGCCCGAAGACGGGTCTGACCTCTTTGATAACCTTCGGACTGTGGCCCCCGAGCTGGCCAGTGCTTTGTCTGCCACTCAGCTGGGTTGGCACTCGGGATGGATTGCTGCTCAGGAGGAGGGGCTGCTGTGTGCTGTTTGGTCGGCAGCCAGGGTCGACCAGCTGGTCGAGTTGAGTTGTTGGCCAAGTCCATGTGAGAGGCCCATGAAGCCCCTTTCCACTAGCAAGGAGAATTGGCCGCCCTTCCAGACTCCCTTCGCTGAGAGTTCTGGTGCCTCCCGGCTGTCAGCCCCCAACACTTCCCTGACCGGAATCAGGAAGGAAGCAGTCCGTTCCCTTCTCTTCGCTGTCCCTTCTTCCCACACCTGCCAGCATGACTCCCCCTTCTCTCCTGGGGAACAGAAAAGCCCGTTTCCTAAGATTCAAGATGCTCCACAACAAGTGCCCAGCTCCGTGAAAGAGTGGATTCCAAGCTAGGAGTATTTATGCACAAGCTTGGTGACCTTCTCAGCATTTGGACATGTGGGACCCACTCTTGGGGCTCTGATTTTCTCAGGAAAAACAGACACCCTCTCCCCCTGAATTATACCTTCCTTTGGCATGTAAGCAGCTACTTACAACTGGCCTGATACCAGCCAGCGCTGGGCCAGGGCTGGGCCAGGGTGGCAAATGCCTTCGTACTTCGGCCAATCAGTTCAGTGCTGGATGTGTGAGAGGATCACCACAACCAGTTGGGAACCGTGATTTGCAGGAGAAAGAAGAAGGTCAGTAGAGAAGTAAAAGTGAAACACAAAATAGAATCCCTGCCCTAAGGTGTTCCCAGCCAGGTAGGAGAAATAGTATGGATGCATTTTTTTAAATATTTTTTATTTTGTTAAAGATTTATTTATTTATTAGAGAGAGAGCATGAGTGGGAAGGGCAGAGGGAGAGGGAGAGAGAGAATCTCAAGCAGACTCCCTGCTGAGCGTGGAGCCCAACTTGGAGCTCGATGCTACGACCCATGAGATCATGACCTGAGTCGAAACCAAGAGTTGGACGCTCAATCGACTGAGCCAACCAGACACCCCTCCCTGGCTGTTTTTATATGTGTTGATCACTTGTATTAATACCACTGGATGCTGAGCTCCTCCCTGGAATCTGGAACCATGTCCTACTCATCTTTGAGTACTTCCCTCCATTCTAGCCCAGTGTCTAGTATATAGCAAGTGTTCAACAAAATTCAAGAATGCGTGCTTCAGATAAACAGCAGTGAGGAAAGGACAGGGTGGAACAGTGCTCATAAAACGGTATCAATATCCAGCCCAATGCTGTGGGACTGTCAGGAGTGAATCAGCCACTTTGAGTTTCCTAGGGGGGAGCAGCTACCCCAAGTCTTGGCACAAACCCCAACATGGTTAAATGGTGGTGGCTTTCTTGCCCCTGAGCGAGCACTGATTCGGAATCAAGAGCCCTGTACCACTCATCTCCCCCGCTCCCTATCCCGTCCCCAGTTCCCTACTGTGTGCCGCAAAAACCAGGGGAACTGGCATTGGAAGAAATCCCTCCAGCTTCTGAGTCCTAGTCTGTGACCCTGGCAAGGTGCCAGCCAGTACCCTCAGGTGCCCCTGGTTTTCACCTGTGGGAAACGTGGGCCAGTTACAGTTAACATTTATTTCCAGCGCTTGCAACGGTTCTCCAAGTGTGGTCCTCTGGACCAGCACCATCAGCATCTCCTGAGAACTTGTTAGAAATGCAAAGCCCCTGGTGCCACCCTAGACCTACTGAATCTGAATCTCTGAGGGTGGGGCCCAGCCATCTGCGTTTTAGCAGCCTACTCCCTCCCCAGCCAGGTCTACACTGTCCAATATGGTCGCCACTGTCCAATATGGTAGCCACTGTCCAATAGGTAGCGCCTATTTAAATTAATTTAAATTACATTAATTAGATTACATCTATTTAAATAAGTTATAATTAAATAACATTAAAAAGTCAGGTCCTCGGTTGCACTAGCCATATTTCAGGCACCCGGTAGCCCCATGTGGCTGCCATACTGAATGGCTCATAGGGACACTTACGCCATCACAGAATTCTTTTGCACAGTGCTACCGACTGATTCTGCTTCACGAGAACCACTCAGCCAGGAAATACAGCTTTCAACCCTAGCTGCATGTTAGAATCACCTGGGGGGCTTTTGAAACCTACCAATGCCCCAACCCTACCCCAGACCAACTAAAACAGAATGGGAGGTAGGGGAGTTGCTGGGAAACATTAGATTTTGAATTTTCCCAGGTGATGCTAATCAATCTCAAAGCCAACACCGAGAATCACTGCAGTGCTCCGCACTTTACACGACCCTGTCCTTGAATACACACAAGACCCTTTCGAGGTACGTGCTCTTAGAAGCCCCTGCATTTTACAGAAGACCATCTGGAGGCACAAAGAGGTTGAGTAACTTATCCCCGGTCACACTGCTCTAGATATTACCGGATGCCAAGGGGCATTCCTGGCAAGTGGCGGGCGGGCTGGAAGATGGAGTGGTCTGTGATCCCTTGCTAGAGTGGAGCCCAAGGAAGTCCGTGAACTTGAGGATGGCCGCCTTGCAGTGACAGCTGCTTTTAATTTGTGTCAAAAAGAAAAGCTGCCTTTTCATTAGAACTGTTTGGGATTTTTTTTTTTTTTTCAGCTGCCAGAGTAAGCCAGTTAACAGGGAATCGTGCAGTGAGGGAAGGCTGAGCACAGCTGCTCTGGGCTTTCCTCTGGGGCAGTCGGGCTCACTGATTTTTCTCGATGCTGGCCATGGTGGAGTCTCTGCAGGTGGTAGGCAGCCACTGCAGGAAGGAGTTCGGCTCTGGCCAGTGGTGTGCACTGGGTGTCCACGGCCAGGCATCTGGTTGCTTGGTTTAAGAACAAGGGGTACGGGGCGCCTGAATGGCGCAGTCAGTTGAGCATCCAACTCTTGGTTTCAGTGATCTCAGGGTCATAGGATCGAGCCCCACATCAGGCTCTGTGCTTTGCGTGGAGTCTGCTTGGGATTCTCTCTCCCTCTCTCTCTCTGCCCCTCCTGCTTATGTTCTCTCTCTCTCCCTAAAATAAATTTAAAAAGGGGGCACCTGGGTGGCTCAGTCGTTAAGCGTCTGCCTTCGGCTCAGGTCATGATCCCAGGGTCCTGGGA